GTACATCCAGGAACAGAATCTTATAGCTGCAATTCGCTTCATCATATAGGCAAACTTAACTTTACAAATTTCCTCATAAAAAGACGCAATAGCGATTAATTATATGCAATCACTACCCCAACTTTCTGACATCCTTTCAAAGTAACTTTCATTGATGGATCTAATAGGGAACGTTTCATTGGAAAGACGGATTACAACTGCGAGATTCGCCAAATATCTGATCAAAGAAGAGCATTCCAAAACGTATAAGACTATAAAACATACCCCCACATAACACGTTGTTTCTCTGTTTGCTGATGTAACCAACGCGGCCATTTATATTCCACGAGCTCATACTGGAAGCCATAATGACTTGCCATGACGGGCAGAGTTTCCTGCAAACAGAACATATAAATTGTTACCATATTATCTAAATTAGATCAGCCCATAGACATTCCCCTCCAAAAAACACCAAAATCAACTTCGCACACAATACCGTTCAGAATATTTTGCGCCTTATTCTGACATATACGAAAATATCGTGCACAGCTACGTTTGTTCTTATGCCATTTCCCGAAAATGGGCAAAATTTTGAGCCTCTGCTCATCTTTATCTCCATATTTTACCATCTGTTCATATTTTTATCTATTTTATCCTTTTTCAATCTCAAATTTTGAGTTTCTGCTCATATTTTTTTCAATATTCTGCTCATACTTTTAAATCTCCAGAATGACACATTGTGAATTCATCGTCTAACAGGAATTTTCAACAATTAGAGAAATTTCTTCAAGCCGTTCGGAATTCACAATGGAAATAATCCGAATTGATTCTATCAGAATTCAGAGTAACAAAGAAACAAATAGATGAATGACGACACCTTGAAGTGCGGTGAGAGGTAATTTTTGAGTAACCAAAACTTGACGGGATGTTTGGTATGCTTCATAACGCTCAGCATCATTATGCGAATGAAACGCTCGTAGAGATGACCCGATGCCAACGAGAATATATTAATTGTTTCGTATTTCTCACCACCACTCAATTTCCTAAAACATCTCTTCATTTGAAAATCAATGCATTCGAAAGCATCAACCAAAATCTTCTCAAAATTCAATAATATTTTTAATTCGTAATCATATCACGTCTTTATCAACTTCCCGAAAAAATTCTTCTTGACAGTTCAGTTATTTCCTATCAACTGAAAATTTTCCATCAAATTCTAGCTAAATTTGAGGGAAGTGCGCATGCAAA